TTTTCAAGCTAGATGAAAAAGCAAGTGTATGGTAGGTGTGATGACACAGAGTATTGTATAGAGCCCTCACAGAATCTCCAAACAACTGATTTCCTGGTTTCTACACAGTTCAGCCTTCAACACTGAACACCCAGTCCATCCCAACCATGCCAATCTGCTTAACATCTAGAATGAATAGTATTTCTTTAGACTTCTGTGCAGTGGGCTGAGTTCAAATTAAGATTCACCTTCTGAATGATACAGTTCCTGTTAAACTTCAGAAAGTTTTAGTTTTACTATAGTCTCTTGAGACTATTCTCTATATATAATTTTTTATCCTCTGGACTTTTGAGGAATTGACTGTTAACTTCTAGATATTTCCTCAAGGGTGGGGAGGCTTCTACTACTTCTATCTCTCTCTCTTTTAATTATTTTATTTTATTTATTATTATCATTATTATTTTCACATGAGTCTACCAGTGACAGAGAGAGAGAGGGAAATTGAGAAAAGAAGCCACCGGGTCTGGGAATCGAACCATGTCAGCCATGCGTGAAGTCTGGTGCCTCAACCACCACGCCACCTGCTGGCCCTCTCCTGCTTCTCTTACATTTTTGGAACAGAAACTGGGTTAATGCTGAAGGACAGGGAGATGCCCTAAGTGTCTTTGGCACATGCATTCACTGCATGGGAGCACTTGACCCTGTCTGGAGCCAACAACCGTGGATTTTTTTCATGTCCACTTAAAACACAGGCCCCAAGTCAGTGTTCAACAAACATTTGCTAAATGGAGACAGAACATGACTATCTGTTTATTGGAGGTCAACTCTAAATGACTCTTAAGGAGTGATTTGTTGAGATGTTTTAATATTTGTGATGATTTATCTATTTCTGTAAGGTTAAAGCATCCCAAAAGGAAAAGGCAGGAAAACATTGATAGGATTCAATTTGATTTGCAATCACATGAAAGATCAAAACAGAAAGATCATCTGGCTCCATTGTACCTTTGAACAGATGAGGAAACTGAGGCTCACAGAGGCTCCAAACATTGCCAGGTCATTCAGGCTGGCCCCAATGATTACTCTGGACCCCAAACCCTGTGCTTCACTTCCTCTGAATGCCAGGCTGGTCTACCCAGCTGCGGCGAACTCCATGTGGGTGACTGGTGTTAATCAGGCTGTCTCTTCCCATCACCACCCATCTGCTATTCCTCTGACTTCCCCATCTCGTAACACCACCTCACTTCTCAGGTCGAAGCTCTATGTATCATCCTTGACTCCTCTAACCCCCACTCCACATCCTACATGCCAGCCAGTCTTCTTATTTCTCCTTACATGACTTGTCCCAAGTGGAAGACTTCTTGGCGATATAGGCTCAGTCTGGTACAGGAGCCTCCTCTCAGTTCCTGCTTTCACTTTTGACCCCTCCAGGTCATTCTCAGCAGGCAGAGCCATCAGTTCAAAATGCAAATCTCATCATATTATTTCCTCTGTTTAATGCCCTTCTCTCTACTCCCCCTTTCTACCCCCTGCTACCCCCGCCAGTGATTTAAATTTCATGAAGAATCCAAAATCCATGAAGTCATGCAATTAATTTTTTAGAGCCAGTCCATGTTCTAGTGGATAAGGGAGTCATATCCCACATGGCTGACCAGGTGGTTCAAATCCTAGCCTGGTAGCTTAAAAAACATGCCAGGAATACATGCATATGTGCCTAAAATCCCAACAAGATGACAAGAAGGAGAAGAGATTGTGCTGTGACCATGCCCCATGAGGGGGAGTTGGGGGGAGATATTTTCACCCTCTTCCTCTCCTTTTCTCTGTCTCTCTCTCTGGTGAGTGCACATGCCCTCTGGCCTATGTATTTATTTATTTATTTTAAAGATTTTTAGTGATTGGTTAGTGTCCCGCTCTCTCTCTCTCTCTCTCTCTCTTTTTTTCCCTCTCCAGAGGTTTTTGCATTTAGGGTGCATGTGCTCTCTGGAAAGAGAGAGAGAAACAGAGACAATGAGAGGGAAAGTGAGAAATCACCTCCCAAAAGGGATGGCCATACCGTAATCCCTTCTTCATTCTTCTCCCAAGATCTTGGGCATGCATGCCCATGTGTCCAGTGCGAGTTTCAAGCCACTGGATCCGGGACTCAAGCCACGGTTACCCATTGTAGGAGTCCAGCCACGTAACCGCTACTCCATCTGCCAGCCCCTGGATAGTGTCTCTTATGGGCATAATCTCCTTTCATGTTATTTCAAAGACAGAGTAAGGATCATTGGCCTGACACACTTGAATGTTTGCCCAAATATCAAGAAAAGTGCTTTCCAGGGCAGAACTGAAAGATGAGGAGGGCCCAGACACAATAGGCTAAACTTTATGTCATGTCCATGTCATCGTGTGTGTGCATGTGTGTGTGTGTGTGTGTGTGTGTGTGTGTGTGTGTGCATCGTGGCCTTGAACAATGAACCTGGGTCAGTGGAGGCTCTCAGTATGCATGGTTGACTCCTGGGGGGGGTGACAATTGTCTGTGCGTTTTTGTATCAGTAGAGTCTGGGACTGTTTCAGGATCAAATCGGGACTAAATATCTGCTTGTGGCATGGAATGGGAAATGACTTATTGGGCCCAGTCCAAGTGCCTGATCACAGTGTCATCACAATGGGAAGTTATTGTAGCTCCTTCCTCTTACTCTCAGCCCACACTGGAAGAGACATGGGGGAAGGGCATCAGCAGGGAGGAGGCCACTCATTTCCAGCAGGAAGGAGGCCACTCATTTCCGGCATGGGCCAGAGCTGTCAATTAAACGCCTGCCCACTAACATCAGGGAGGCCAGTGAAGTTTTTGGTATTTTGTCTTTTGTCTTTGGCTCTCTCTCTCTGAACCTTTCCAAATATGAATCCCGTGGGATAAATACCACATTACATTTCTGTAGATTATTTTACCCAGGAGCAGCAATTCTGAAGGGTGTACGCTTTGTGAACCCCACAGCAGATTAGAGAACTGAGTCGCATACACACACACACACACAAATCACAGAACCTAAGGGCAGTTGCAAACATGGCAGACTGCGGGTTTCAACCTGTCAGAGCTTGTGGCGTGAGACCGTTTGTTTGGTTGGATACCCTGTCCTTTCTTACCTCCGCTCTACATGCTATTTTCAAAGAGTAGCTCTTATCATAGTACTTTTTAAGGTAAATTTAATTTCAAACTGCCCCTTGAGAGAGCTGGTGACACTCTGGGCCTGAGAGCCATGGCAGTTGTTTTAAGAGCAGGCATCAGACCAGGTAACTAATACCTATTGCCCTAATCACCTCATCAAAGCTTTCAACAAGCTGCCACCATAGACAAGCCTTTCTCTATGAACGAAAAATATTTCCGGAACTCTATTCAAGCACTCCATTTTCCTGTCAGAAAAGTAATTGTGGCTGGCCGATAAACCAGTTTGAAAAATCAAATTTAAATGAGCCAAATTTAAATTTATAAGAGCCTCATTTAACATGCAATTAATTTTATGCCTATAATAAAAAGAGAAAAATCTCTGGTCTCCCTGAAGAATTAAAGAGGCTGATAAAGAAATGCTGTGCCTCATGGAAATGGGGTAAAATGCTTCTTGAACACTCATTCTCTTGGTTGCATAATATTATATACAATACATTCTATTTTAGGCAAGTATTAATTTGACTGAAATTAATTTTTTTTTGAAGTACTCACAGGAATGTGACCAAATGGCTAGGGATGAAGCAGACTGTTGGTTCCAGATTTTTTTTTTTTTTTGGAGA